CAAGCTTGCTAATAGGAAAGTGCTTTCCCACAAACAGCTCTTTCATTATTCTTAAGTGTGCAGGGCAGATGACTTGGGAGTGTGTAGTAGAGCTGCACATCTTCATGGTAATACATTCTGGGCTGTGCTGTTTTAATGAGAGTGAGGTACAGGTTGTTCCCCAGCCTGTACCCTGGTCTGCACATGTGATTTCACTTTGTTGAGGAAACTCTCCTAGTCCATACAGTATGCTGTTACTGTCAAGCAGAGACAGCTGGATCAGCTGCTATTTTAAATAATCTTTTCCCAGCCTTATCCTTGCTACTTCTCTGAACAGTGGTGGAATACAAAACCACTTAAAAATATTCTTTTGCTATTGCTTTTTGAGGTTGGGGAAATGATAATGGCCAAGGTTTGATTTACTTAGCCATTGCTTGTAAACCATTTTCTCCCAGGAAGGATATAAAGTCTGAGCTTGTAAGATTAAGCTATCTGAAATCTAAGTGATTTTATTTGCAGGATGTGACTTACTATGTCAAAAAGCAGCTAAATATCTTAAGTAATAGTTACAGATGATGCTTTTCTAATGTCTATATCCAAAGCCCTCAAAGGACTTAACATGTTCCTGAGAAAAAGGGATTTATCACAGTATTGCAGGTGGAGAGATGTACACAGCCAGTCTTACTTAGCTAATCATTAGATGAGTAGTATCTCTGTTGATGAGTAGTCTCTGTTGCTGTGGTTGGGTTTTTTGTGACTGTAGTGTTTTGAGATGACAGTAGCTTATCCAGGTTGTGAACAGTCTCTTGTGGCTCTTGTGATTCTCTTCCACAAAATTTGATAGAGAAGCACATGTACAAAGTAGACGTCCTTGTGTTACAGATCCCGGAAGAAAGAAAAATAGCCTGTCAAATGTAATTCAAATCAGCTATTTAATAACAAAAACAATTATTCTTTCTCTGTGTGTCTCTTTGTCAGGATAATATGCACACTAGGAGGAGTTGGGGGCAGGGACTGATTGTATGCAGTGCAGGAAAAAACAGCAAGTGAGTTTTGTGATAAAGTAAGGTTTTCATGCTTGTCTTATCTCTTTAACCCTGTAGTTCATTGTAGGCACTCTGGCTTCACAGCATGCTTTAGGAGTCCTTAAAGGAAAGCAGGGTTCATGGTCTGCTTTCTGGAGCAACAAGGCATAACTTTAAAACTCACTTAACTTTTTTTGTTTTTAAGCTCTAGAGGCAAACAGGTCTCTGTTCTAATCTAGCCTGGAATTTTATGAAAACTGTCACAGCACTTTTGTCACCTTCTGAATTAATCTGTTTCTGCTTGCTGACAGTTGGTGGATGTGAAGTGACAGATGACCAAATTTTCCAGGGCTGTTGTTTCATGCTCCAGCTTTTGGCACCCAAGGCTGTTGCATGAGGGAAGGCTGTGACTCATGCTTCTAGGGAAAGTATAACTAACTACTTCTCTTCTCCTAACCTCAAGGTAAAAAACAAAACAAGTGGCTCCACCAAACCAAAACCACCAAGGGAAAGTAAGAAAGAAAGGGCTGGAGATGCTGCTTGTAAACAATCTGTCCTTTTTTTTTCTTTTTTTTTTTTGTCTTGCTCTTCTGCAGTTGTCTATTTTATATGATTACAATTGATTGCAAGACAGAGCTCTTGATTTCAGACTGCTTTTGTGGGAGCATTGTGTTGCAGAAATAGTGTTCAGATTCTCCAGTCTCTGCAGTCTCTTGTTAGCATTAATTGCTGGTCCTTCCCTCTGAATTTTAGGTCACTGTCAGTACACTGCCTTAACAAACAACAAATACGGTCTGTAGGTAGGGGTTTTTTTCCTGTTTAAGATATACTGTGGTAATATTTTGGGACTTTTTAAAAAGGGCATGTAGTAACAGAACAAGGGGGAATGGCTTTAAACTGACAGAGGGCAGATTTAGTTTAGGAAGAAATTCTTTACTGTGAGGGTGGTGAGGCATCAGAACAGGTTGCCCAGAGAAGCTGTGGATGTCCTGCCCCTGGAAGTGTTCAAGGTCAGTTTGGATGGGGGAGGACAGGGAAGACAATACCATTTATAGTGAGGAGCAGCTCCTGTTTGCTATTTGTTCCAAGTTTAGAGTGTTGTTTGTTTTTTTTTCTGACCCACACATGGCCTTGTGAGAGCCAGTGTGAATGTGAAACCCCATCAGCCAATTCGCATGTGGCTTTTCCTGGCTGGCTCTTATCTGATGAGAAATGTTCTTTTTCAAATAGCATCTTTATGAAAGCCTTTTATATGCTTAAACCATGAAACAAAGCTGATGGCAAGAGCTGTGGTGTACCACTCACTTTTGCCTTCTTTTGGTTTGCAGTTGTTGGTGAGTTTTGACTTGTAGTTGGCTGTTTTTCTCATAGATTGTGAGCAGGGAAGGGTAGTGCTGTGTGCCTCTCCTAGCTGCTTACTGTCCTCACTGTCAGTCCTTTCTGGGTGTTATTCTCAGGAGTTATGCAGAGGCTACATGTACAACTTCTAAAAAATATGTGCAAGCTGAAGAGTGAGGTTGGTCAAGGGAGTCTTGTGAGGGCATGGTAGGTATCTTACAACTGAGATGAGAATTGATTTTTGTTTTCCGAAGACCCAACCCAACTTAATGTAATATTTTTAACAAAGGCAAGATAAGCTCAAAGTAAAGTGTTTCAAAGCTTAGGGGTAGGCTAATTGGAAGTTCCTTGTGCACGCACAATGTGTATTCTTCCTTGTCAGAAACAAGTTGTAGGATGATTTAATGAGAGTTGCCAGTGACATTATTGGTTTTTGGGAGCACCTGCTGCTGCTGCTGGATGAAGCTGAAGAGCCAGAAGGAGCACTTTTGCTGGGGATATCACTGCTAACCTGTGGAAAAGCAGTGACCCAGCTCTGTCCTTGCTTCCTAGGGCATTGAAATGATCCAGATTAAACAGGGAATGGCAGGGTTGGGGCTGTGATGATTTTCTGCTCTGCCAGCTGCCTCTTTTCATTTCCATGAAAAAAACTAAGGGCAGGAGGTTGCTTCATATCCATGAGGGAGTGTAGCTTAAGGCAAGTAAGCTTTTTGTGTGTGATTTGTTTCTTGTGTGCTTTGGGGTGCCATCTTCATTTGAAGACCCCAGCAAATAATTCTGGGAAATATTCTCTCTCTACCACCTCCTCAGCAGTCAATCTAGCATTTGACTCCGACTTTCCTTGGTAGGATAAACCCCACTTTTTTTCTTTATTTCCATATTAGAATAATATCATTTTAGGCTTGGATAAGATGGAAAGATATTGAGTAGGTCAAAAACAGAGTTCATGTAACTGTTCCTGGGGTTCAGATAGCTGAATTCCCATTCTATGGGCATGATCCTGTTCACACTTGAATCATACCTCCTCCTCCTGTCTTTGCATATTTTTTCTGTCTGCTCTAGTATTACAGGGAGCATTCAGCCCTGTCTCAGCCGTGGTGTCAGGACACTGGTGGGTGATGGACAAATTAGTAACAGGAAGCAGAACTGTAGAGTTTGCCTGGCTTCTCATCTCTTCTGGGAGCAAAGAACATTTTACTGGAAAGATTGAAGATCATTTTTCCCACACTTTCATGTAGTACTGAGCTAATATTTCTCTGTGATAGGCACAAGATCCTCTACTGTACTCCTCCATTCTTAATATGTATTTTTGTATGCTTGCAGCAGCCAGAGTGACTGCTGGTAGGTGTATTTATAGTACTAAGTATCATCCTTGATTTTTATTTATTTTTTTCTTCCAAGGATTGTAATTGGCAAAACAGATTTTTGTGTTTGTTTTTTTTTTTTGCTCCGTACTTGTTTTGTAGCCTGATGGGTCATCAGTTCCACCCACATGGTTCTTGATATTTTCCATTCTCCCTTCCTTGCATCATTTGACTTTTCTAAGCAGTTCCTGTCTCCCTTAATCATATTCCTGATTTCTAAATTTATTATTTTAATGATATAGCAAGATTCTTGTGCAGTAATTCAGGAAGCTTGCAGTGAAGTCTAGATAAAATAAGTTTTAAACAATTTTGAAAAGTGAAGACAAAAGGTATTGCTCCTGAGGTATGTTATTGAAGTATATACAGGACTGACAACTGCAGGATTCTTGTCACGTGAGTGTGTGTATTGGGTTTGCATGGTAAGGTTTTGGCTGCAGGGGTGGCATCTGTTAGAAACTGCCAGAAGCTTTCCCCATGCCCAACAGACCTGCTGCTGGTGCAGACCAAACCCATCAACAGTGCTGGTAGCACCTCTGGGATAATAGTTAAGAAGGGGAAAAAAACCTGCACAATTGCAGCTGGGGAGAGGAGTGAGAGCAATTCTGCAGACACCAAGGACAGTGAAGGAGTAAGAAGAGGTGCTGCAGGTGTTGGAGCTGAGATTTCCTGGCAGCCTGTGGTAAAGACCATGGTGATGCAGACTGTGCCCCTGCAGCTCAGGGAGGACCCCATGCTGGAGGAGGTGGATGCCTGAAGAAAGTTGTAACCCTGTGGGAAGGCCATGTTGGAGCAGGCTCCTGCTAGGGCCTGTGGATCCACAGAGTGGAGCCCACACTGGAACAGGTTTATTGGCAGGACTTGTGGCCCTGTGGGGGACCCATGCTGGAGCAGGCTGTTCCTGAAGGGTTGCACCCCACGGAAGGGACCTAAGCTGGGGCAATTTGTGAAGAACTGTATCCTGTGGGAAGGACTCATGTTGGAGGAGTTCATGAAGCACTGTCTCCTGTGGGAGGGACCCCATGCTGCAGCAGGGGAGTCCTCCCCCTGAAGAGGAAGCAGCAGAGACAGTGTGTGATGAACTGATTGCAACCCTCATGCCTGTCCCCATGTGCTCCTGGGGAAGGAAGGGAAGTAGAGAATGCAGGAGTAAAGTTAAGCCCAGGAAGAAGGGAGGAGTGAGAGGAATGTCTTTTTACAATTTAGTCTTTACTTCTCATTATCCTACTCTGATTTGATTTGATTAAATTAATTTCCCCAAGTCGAGTTTGTTTTGCATGTGATGGTGATTGCCGAGTGATCACTGTCCTTATCTTGACACATGAGCGTTTTGTTATATTTTTCTCTCTCCTGTCCAGCTGAGGAGCTTACAACATATACTGCATGGTGTTTGCAGTGCTTTACGTGACTGAAACCAGGGCACAGGCTGCTCCAGGGGAGGGTCTTGCCCACCCCTGTACTTGGCAGGGTGATAACAGAGTGATAACAGCACTTTCAGTCTCATGTTTTGTTGTGTCAGTGCTGAGCAAGAAAATTTGTCCTTAACAAAACTGGTTCCAGATAATCTCTTGATGGGCTTGGTTTGAAGCGTAAGGGATGCTGGAGCTGCCTGGAAAATGTCTGAAGAGCCACTCTCCTGGTATAGAACACAGTGGCATTTTCCAGGCCTGAAATAATCTGACTGCATAAAGGGAAAAATGCAGGAGAGTGACTTTCTAGAGGTGCTTAGGGATGTTATTTTTTAAGGTGCTGAACCACGGCTGTTCAGCAATGCTGAAAACTGTCCCAAAATCATCGGTCTTGGAGAAAACGTACATCTTGCAGACAAGGAGAGTGAAGGACATGAGGAATGACTTGTGCAAGGTCAGTAGGCTAAGTGGTCCAGAGGAGGAGAGTGCTCTTGTACAGCTGTGCAGGGTCTTTGGAGGGCTGACTTGTTCCTGGTAACAGGTGAGTGTCTGTCAGTATGTGGTGGGTTGACCTTGGCTGGCAGCTAAGCCACATGCAGCTGCTCATTTCCTCCCACAGCAGGAAGGATTAGGAAGAGCAAAAGCAAGAAAACTTGGGAGTTGAGATAAAGACAGTTTAAGCTCCGTGTGGAAGCAAAGCAAGTGAGAGGAGCTCATTCCCTACTCCCTATTGGCAGGCACATGTCCAGCTGCTTCCTGGGAAGCAGGACCTCAGCATCTGTAGTCCTTACTTGGGAAGCCAAACACCATAACCCCAAACATCCTCCTCCTTTCTCTGAGCTTCTACTGTGGAGATGATGTTATATGGCATGGATGTCACTTTGATGGATTTGGGTCAGCTGGCTGGACCGTGTCCTCTCCCAGCCTCCTTGTGGGGAAAAAGAAAAAGCCTTGATGCTGTGTAAACACTGTCCAGTAAGACCTAAAACATTGGTGTGTTATCAATATTTTTAGTCACAAATCCAGCACACAGTGTGATACAGGCTGCTGTGAAGAAACTGAACTCCTATCTTGGCCAGAACCAGTATGCAGTGTATTTGTGTTCAAATAATACATTCCTAGACCACAGCCTTTCAGCTGGGTGGGTGTGTAAAAGACGCCTGGAAAGCAAATCTGGTGGCATTTCAGGAAATGAGTGTTGTGGCTCTAGTAGTTGCTTTCTGAGCTCTGGAGTGTCTTGTAAGATGAGGAAGAGTGAAGTTTTCCATACTAGCTTTTGTTATGTGAGCTGTTTATGCCCCAAATGCTACAGTAAATGAGATTTGAGTTGGTAAAGGAAAAGATTATGTTCCTGAAGTTCAGGTCAGACTAATCCCTAGTACTGCTGTTAGTGGATGGAGTTAGAGCTGTGAGGAATTTAGGCCATTATTTAATTTCCTAATTTCATAGAAGTTCTGATAATTTGGTCATAGCCAAGGAATACAGGGAGCAACTGAGACTCCTGGAAAGTGGCAGCTTTTTCTAAACCATGGATATTCAGGGAAAAGGCCAAGTTTTGGCACTGCTTTGAGAAATACTAGTTTGAATTGCTACCTGTTTCTTAGTGATAGAAAGTTATATGTGCAGCTGACTTTGCTTTTTTGCAAGCTTGACTGCTAAGAAGCAGCAAACATTGTGATTATAATTTGAAGACACTTGAAGCCTTTGTTTAGCTTTGGATCTTTAAACCTTACCAGCTGTTTAACCATGCACTTGTTTATGCCTGGCTTTAGTTTATTTAAAACAGCTGTTGACTGGTGATGGGAGTTTTTCTAGGAAATTGGACAGAGTGGAGCAGTGAGCAAATTCTAAAAGTCCTTATTGAAATAGAAGCTCTTTTTCTAGTGTGATCTCCAATATGGTTTAGTTCAGATGCTGAGCTGTGTATACCCATGAGAGGGAAGGTGTGAGACACATTTGTTTGGAATCCTGTCTTACACTGATGTAAACTGCAAGCTGCTTGGGAGCATGTTAGAACCTCTCCAGTTTTGTTCTGAAAGACGTAGTGGAATCTGTTTCCTAGTCTTTCTTTACCTTTGAAGTGGTTTGTGTCTTAATGATGAAGAGAGATTAGAAACTTCAGATACGTTTTATTTTAGGCACAGGCAGTAAGTCCTAGTAGTGAACACGGAGCCTTTAGGAGGTGCGATGTTTTTCGTTTGAAGCCAATCACTGCTAGTCAGTTCAGTCTAGCTCTGATAATGACCAAGCTGATTTAGGATAGGGAGCATTGCTTTGGAGGTGGTGACAATGGGATCGAGGCCAACAGAAGTGCTCTGTGAGTGGTATTCAGTCTAGAAAATCCCATCTTGTTGATGAGAAGTGTCTTTATTGGCTTCCTGTCTGATTCTCAGTATTTTCTGCTCCCAAGTTACTATCTTGCATGTGGGATCTGATTGGACATAACTGTGTATCAGCATTTTAATAGGTGTTGTTTGTGCAGTGTTCATAAAGTCTCTGCTTCTTTCTTGTGGAGTCTAGGGTGAGTTTTCACACTTTGTTCAGTTAATAATAAAATATCTGGATTTCTGGTGCAAAAGACTTGCTCAGTGGTGGTGCATGGTTTGGCACAATTGAAGGGTCTGCACAAGTTATCAACTCACAGCAGACTTAGGCTTAAACCTATCATTTCAGTGCTGCTTCTTCATAGGAAAACAAAACCAAACAAGAAACACCCTACAAAACCCCCCACCAAATCAACTAACCAAGAAAAAACCCCAGGCTAGTATTTCAGGGCTTTTTAATCTTAAGTATTATAATGTTAAAATCATGGCATTCTTTGAAAGTTCATTTTGTGTGTATGTGTATGTACATTTCTGTATTATGCCATATGCTCTTAGCCATTAATGTGCAATGGAGAATGGAATGTTGTCTGACAGTTCAATGTCATGGGAGCATCCCTGGAAGCAGTCCTTACAAAGGCCTTGTAATGTCACTCCTGTACTTTACCTTACGTAGGATTCTCTGGCCCAGTGCATTTAATCTGTAAGATTGAAGGTGGAGCTGTTTCTGAAGCAGACAAACTGCAAGTTTGAAATTGTATTGGTAGAGGTGGGGCTGTAATTGCCTGGTGGGAGAGAGGAAAAACTCAGTGCAAGATGAAGGTCACCTAGTTTGTGCCTAGGCTTCCTCACTTGAGTCTACAAAACCTGTGCACGTGTTTCTTCCTGTACATATGTGCAAAATACCACATGCTGGTCAGCTATGCTTTCTTCATTGTACTGACTGCATTCCCTGGTTGTTTTACTTGTGAAGCTGTGCAGTAATGCCTTGAGGAGCTTGGAGTTCTCGGAAAAGAGGTGCACGCAGCACTGCCATCAGTGTCAGTATGGCATGGCAGGATGTACCACTGCTGAGGAGATGTGAAGGAACACCATCTGTTCTCTTGCCCATGTCATTTATTATCCAGAAAAATAAATATTTTGAGACTGGGAAGGCAGTGAGACCTTTGGTAGTATGGATTACTGCGTGATTAGATCTATGCCTCATTTAATCTTTGGCGCCTTTGGTCTGTTTAGTGGAGGCAGATAACACTACTTTTGCAGTTGTAACTTAACCTGTGGCTGTGAAACAGGAATCTATTGCCAGGGTGATAGTGCATGTGAAGTGCTGGTGTTCTGTGTTCTGTTCACACTGTTCTGTGTGGGATTACTCCCCAGCCCAGCTCGTTGGAATTGTAGGTTACAACACTGTTTGCATAAGGTGAACCTTGGGAAAAACATCAGTCAATGAGCACATGGAACTGAGAAACAGCAAATGAGCACAAATTAACCTGAATGCTCAGAGAGTAGGGTTGCAAAGTTTAAAACTCCACTGGCAGTGGCTTCATCTAAATAGAGTTTTGTTTCCCCCTGCTGTGGTGGCATAGTGACGAGTGAGAGGGATTCTCTTCTTCCCTGAGAATTGTACTTTGAGACCCATGCTTGCGAGATTTATTTTTCTCCCCTTCCCTTCTAAACTCACAATTTCGAGTCTATAGCATGACCTCAGCCAGAGCACAGGGCTCTCAGTAGCCCTTGTAACATGCTTTATAAAAACTGGACATCCTAGATTGGCCTAGCCTATGATTCCTGGCTGGCGTGCTGGGCTGAAGTACAGGAGAACACTCCTCAGTGTCAGACTTCAAGATGACTCCATTGCAAAAGCCAGGATGTTCTGATCAAGCTGTTATGCATTTGACTGTGTGGCTTAAAGTTAATTACCAAAAATGCCTCTGTATGTGGCTTGGAAGGTTTTTTCATTTTGTCCTGAGTGTCTTTTCTTCTTATTTTGAAGGACTAGCTGTTGGTCTTGGCATTGGGGCATTGGCAGAAGTTGCAAAGAAGAGCCTTAGACCTGAGGAACGCAGTGGTAAGCTCTTTGTGTCCTCCCTGTTTTCTCCCTCACACCTTTTTTTTTTTTTTTTTTTTTTTTTTTTTTTTTTTTGTTTAATTTTTTTTTAATTTAAAATCCCTAGACACAGTTTACCTGGATTTGCAAGATTGTTTTCTTTTCAAAGCAGTCAGAATAACATGATGATGTGGGTGGTATTTCTATTTACAACATAATCATCTCTAGGCTCTTCTCCCATCTAAGTACACCACAGCCTCACTACATAGACAGAGGTCAGAGGTGTCAGGGAGAATGAGTTTGTGCCAGCACAGTTCATATAGCTTTACTTTTCCCACAGCCACTCCCGAGTCTGAATGCTATCCCTGTGTCCATTCTTGGTTTGTCTTGGCCTAACAATTCTTTTTAAACTGTTCAGTGAAAACATGTATTTCTGTCGGTACAGAAACTAGATGAGCCTGTATGTCTGAAAACTTTGTTAGCAGTTGCAGTCTGAAATTTAAGGATATTCTACATAGGAGGAACTTACAGGATAGCTGCTCTATTTTAAGAGAGACAAAATGCTTTATGTTCCTGTTAAATAGCAGTTATTTGTTTCCTGTGTCTGAATTTTGCTGCCTTCTAAAGATTTGCATAACATCTCAAAAGGCTGTGCCATGCAAATCAACTCTTTTCTTCCCAGCCTGTTTGAATTTGGAGGTAAAATGTTCCTAAGTTGTACCAGTCCATGTCACGGTGACTTTTTTCTAAGCTAATGTTGGTAAAATATGGTGGTACCGAATGGTTTTGTGTGGGTGAGTGGTGTAGGGCATGGAAAATACATGGTGTTCTTCTCTAGAAAACATGAGATTACTCTAAAGCTTATGGTTCCATGCACTTGTTTCTTACACAGGTAAAGCTTTTGTGGGGTATTGCAAAATGCCAAGTTCTTTGTTAGTTACTGCAGGTTGTTTGGTCTTCAGCTGGTCTCCCTGGTTTGGCTGGTTATGGTTGTGTTTAGATTACTGTTCAGTGACTGGAAGGAGCTGATGAAAGCTCTCAGTACTTGTAGCTAGAAGTAAAAATGAAGTCAAATCATTCCTGGTTCAGAGATAACCTTCTCTGAGACTGGGATAGCCTTCTTTGAGACTGGGAAGGCAGTGAGACCTTTGGTAGTATGGATTACTGCATGATTAGATCTGTGCCTCATCTTTGGTGCCTTTGGTTTGGTTCACCTTACGTAGGATAAAAGAAGCCTTCTTTGAGTCTTGTTTTGAAGTAATAGACAACTGTAGGGTCTGTAATTTTACTCTGTGGCTGATAGGATTCTTGTACAATGCCAGTTTCTGTCTTCATCCTGATCATCCTTGGGGCTGGGAGAAGGATGAAGACTGAGTGTGAACCTCTTCTAGAAAGTACTGGAGTGGCTGAAAACCAAAGACATTTGGAGGAGAAAGAATGCTAAAAATCCAACCAACTGAACAAAAAGAAATCTCACAAACCAAAAACCACTCCCCTGGCAACCCATTCTCTGGGGTGGGAGTCAGGAGTAAGGCAGGGGTTGTGTGCCACCCAGGACCCAACTTGTACAGGGAATACCAAGATGCAAGTATTAACAGCTAGGCAATGCAGAGCTGCCCAGGAGAGAAGAAGGATCCTTGGCAAAGAGTTGCGGTTTCTCTCCATCACCTGAGGTGTTTGAGGCTTGGTGGGTTTCTTTGCTTACATTTAAAAATATGCATTCAACAAACATGGCCCATCCTGTAGAGAATCCTTGAAGGCTTTTTGCCTCCAGCGCTTCCGATGTTTGACAGGTTGTTGATACCTGTTGGAATCTGATGATTTGTGTTGTTTTTAAGCGCAGGAATTGCATAACTCCTGGTATTTCTCTGCTTGCCAGATTATTTTCTAATTGGGCACACCCCAAAGTGAAAACAGCTATGAAATTTGAGGGAATAACATGAGCTTTGTTTCTCTCCCTTACAGCATGGGAGAGGATATTTCTTTTTTTGAGCACAACAGACACTATTTTTTTCCTTGCAGTAATGCAAATGCACCTTTTATACCTTCTTCTTCTTGCTAGGGAAACTGGTATTTTCCTATGTGACTATGACTTGGTGCCAAGGCCGGCTTTGCAGTCTTCAGTCATACTTTGGGAAGAGTGATTTTCTTGAACAATCTTTGATTAAAGAATAAGGCAATGTGAACTGCCAACTTCAGTGCTAGACAGGGGAGTTTAAAAATGACTTTTTTTTTTTTTTTTTTAGCTGTCTCTTGTTCTCGCTTCCTTCTTGCTGACAAATCTGCTTAGATAACATCTTGGAGCAGTGGTTATGCTGTAAAGGAGAATGATAGTGGGACTGAGAATGGGCCGAGAGCAGCAAGTATTGAGTTGAGGCAAAAGTAAAAGACTGTTTCATCTTTCATACTCTTTTGGAGCTTCTCAGACCAAAGACACGGGAAGGTCTCCATGTGACTCAGCTACATCCTCTTGCTAGTGTGCTTGGATATGTTTTCCACAGGAATTTACAGTGGTGGGTAAGGCTCCCTGCATAAGAACTATCTCCATGGGCTCTGCTGCTGCAGAAATGCACAGCAGAGGATATGTACACAGTGTGAGTCCAAGATTCCATTTTCTTACTGATCCTTTTGAGTGTTGTTCTGACATTACCAGCCTTAGCTGTTCTGGGGGAAATCTCTAGATGAAAGTACCTCTTTAAACATTTCTTTAAAAGTACTTCTGCACCCTTTTCATGATTTCAGCTTGAGGCATTTGTGGCCCAGTTTTGTGACTGCCAGCACCCTCAGCTCAGGCTAAGACCTGTCTCACTTGAGAATGACATACCCTGCTCTCTGGAGGCTGGTAGAGCATGTAATTTCTCTGCCCATTGCTGCAATATTAATAGTAACTTCTTGGCACTTCAGACTGAAACAAGTGGGATGTGTATATGCCCAACAGCATGCCTAAGAATTTCACACTCTCACTGGCATCCAGGAATAACGAGAAAGCTGTCTCTTGGTTAATCTCTCCTTGTCTAGTCAGTACATATGAAAGTGTCTTTACACCTTGAAAATGGAACTAGAATCACTGGTCCTTTAGTCCCAAACCAGAAACTCCTGAACTACACATGACCCTCAGAGCACGAATACTGCTGCTACTTTCCATTACTGTTACCAAACAGAGGGACAGCAAATGCCTATTCTCCTCCATGTTCTCTAGCTACTGTGCTGGGGCTGAATCTGTCTTTTCCTGCTCAATTCCTCATCCTTGTTTGGTAGCCACAGGGCCCTTCTCTCTCTGCCTCAGATAGTTTCTGTATGGAATTCACTTCTTAAGTGGCTTATCCTAGAATCATAGAAATCTGCTGCAATAGTTTATGAATTTCTTCCTTTTCCATCCAAGCCTGATGTCCTGGACATATATTCTTTTCACTGACAAATTGTTGTGAGGAGGTGCAGGTGAAAACCAGCTTTTGTTGTGTTGGTTTTGGTTTTTTTTAAAGGGCTTAAGGCCCTGATGCTGTCCTCTTTAAGTTTTATAAGTGGTTTGGCTCATCCTGTTTTGTTAAAAAGGAGATTACTTGCTTGATTTCCAATTGAAAGTTTCTTGGTAGGCTGATGCAACTAATTAACAGTAACCTCCTTGGTCACTGGGGTGACCCTGATGGTAGCCTCAGTGTTTAGAGTGTGTATCTACAGTGCAAGGCTTACAGAGGGTAGGAATGGGAAGGTAGAATAAATTCCCAGGAATTAAAGTGAGTGCCCAAATAAATAGCTGCTGTTCCTGGTAAAGAGACTCTGGGTTCAAGGTCAACTTTGTAACTTATTAATGACCTGCCCCGGGCTGTTCTGTTAGCCACTGTACAAATGCCAGAGCCTTGAAGGGTTGGCACTTAGCCTGAGTTTGAACACAGAGCTGTTTTCTTATGGAAAGGAATAATGCAATCTCCTGATGTTGTCAGTCCCAATTGCTTAGGCTGTGTTCTTGAGTCTTCCCTTGCCCCAAAGTTTATATGGCAGATGGTCCTAAAAGCAAAGATGCACGAAATCCAGTGGCTAGATCCCCATTTGACAGTGGCAAAGGAGGTGGAAAAACAGTGATACAACCTTGAGATGCACACAGACTTGAATGGGCTCATGCAGATTCTGGATTTGGAAAGGAAGAGGTGAGTCAAGCACCTGTAAGTGTCTGCCTGCCACCTCTGCTGTGGAAGGGCTGACAGGCTCCAGATGCTGTGGCTGCAGGAGCCTTCATTTCTGAGGTTTCCTTGTTGCCTCAACTTGTATGTGACTTCTATTTGCCTGCCTTTCTTTCCCTGATGAAATAGGTGAAAAACACCCACCATCTTTGTGATAGGAAGATGGGAAGGACACCATTTGAGGCATCAAAAGGTGCCAGTCATCTTTGGAAAAATATTAACTTATTGAAAATTGGCATAATTCTTCAGGAACTTGTTGTAGGTTTTATCTCCACTTCCTTTCCAGCCAGCCTTAGAAGCCTATGTCTGTTTTATTTCGTTTGCCATGTATACAGTTCTGCTTTTGACTCTTGCTTTCAGGTCACCTTTTCATGCCTACTTTTAGCAGAGTACATAAGCAAGAGCTGCCCATGTGCTCTTGGGCTGCCTGGTGATTAGGTATTGCCCCTGTAAGCTTGACTTCAGTGAGAAGCATACCAGAAAAAGAGGATTGGGAGTGCCTGTGTTTGGCTCTGATAAGACTCTTTTAAAGTTGTCAGGGGTCACTGGTTTCTGGAGGTGACTTTAATTATTAACTAACTCCTTTATCCTGCTGCATACTCAAAGGAGGATGCTTGTGTGTGCAGTGGTGTGAAGAAGGTATGGCTTTGATTCAATACTTTCCCTAGCTTCTGTGTGTCATCTCACATGGGTTTTCCAGATTGTTGCTAAGGACACAGAGTCTTCCTGATAGGACAGTTGAGATGGGATCACTGAGAGTCAGAGTTCTGTTAGATGCCTTCAGCCACTTCGCTCTCCAGGGCTTTGCAAGTGGGAAAAGCCAGATCCTTCTGCTCTGGGCAGCTCTACTTGTTAAGTCTCTGACTCCTTACATCCAGGATCCAGGGCAAAATGTGCTCTGAGGATTTCTCTGTGTGATGCAAATGGTGAACTCTAAGCCCCTCCTGCATGTCTGCATCCTGCTCTCAAGAACAGGATAGTTGTCCTGTGTACTTCCTTTTAGTAGTTTTATTCCTCTCTCCTTTTCATGTATATTCTTGACTTGGAACAGGGATTTGTACAGATACATGTCCCATGTGCAGTGTCACTTTGCTGCTATCCCACAAAACAGGTGAAGGAAAGAGGGGGGATGAAGGACAGGGGAGAACAGCCTGTACCTGGCACCTCTGTGCTCTGTCAGTGGAGAGTTCAGTGGAATTGCATCTGTAGGGAAAAGCGAGTCAGCACAGGAACTGAAGGGTGTCTATCAGTAGCATGTTTGGCACCTCAAGAAAGTGGTACCAAGTTATGTGAGCTACTAGAGTTGAGTCAGCAGCTATTTCAGTCTGAGAACTACCTGGAGAGGATATCTGGCTGCTGTAGTCACTGCATGACACACCAGTTCTATCTGCCTGAGCTCTTCAGAGCTGTTGTAGCTGCTGTGCCTTTTTAGGCCCTGCTTTGTTCTATGTAGGGACTTAAGCTGTTCTGTCCTTAGTCCCTTTTCCTCTGAAGTATGGAAAAAAATGATGTAGCTGCAAGATGACTACACTAACTCAGGCCTGGCTGTAAGGCCTGACCTTCCTCCTGCATGGCTTTTCATTAGGAGCATTCGTTAGGAGCTGATTTGCAGCCCCAAGAGAAGTGGTTGGTGCCAGCCAGCTCCCTCTGTCCCTGCTCTACCAGGCACTGCCCTGGAGAAGGAGTTCTGGGTTGATTCTCCCAAAGGGGCCACAAAATGGAATCAGGGTCTCCTTCCCTCTCCTTTAATAAAAATTTCAAAAAAAGTGGAGGGGAAGTGCATCTTATGCCACAGAAACCCCATGTTGCATACTTGGAACCATGGCACTGGTGTGTAGATGGCTGCAGTGACCACTCTGAGCCTGTCAGACATCAGGCTTTACCCATTCTTGGGGATAGGAATGTGTGTGTTTGACTATTACACATGTATTTTGTACCATGTTCTGTGCAAGCTTCCACCATAAGCAGTGCCAGCACATTCTTGGTCAATGGCAGTGTGCTGCCAAAGTTTTGATTATTCACCTTTGCTGTGGATCACCCCTGCTGCCCTTTTGAGGCTATGGCTGTGCTGCAGCTTATACTGTGGGACTTGGGAGACCTTTACATAGTGTTTTAGGCTGAGCTAGCTGGTACAGTGACTTCAAGCACCAATGTCCACCCAGAATCCTGGACAGTTTACATAGCAGCACAGATGTTCTTGGGAGGCTGTGACTTGCTGCTCTTGGCCCTCAAGCCAACAATGTCAAAGTTGTCACAAGACACATATACAGCTTCAGTCCGTGCCCCTGGGTTGCAGTGAAAGCACTCAGTGTAGCCCTAGTTTGATTTCTCTAGGGAAGGGGATGTCTCCTGTTGAATGTGGGCTAACACAATGAAGTGAGCTTGCCAAGATAGGGGTGTTCTTTCATTTGTACTCTTTTTCTCCTTGCCCTCAGGAAAGAAAGCTGTGATGGATTCTAGCCCGTTCCTGTCGGAGGCCAATGCAGAAAGAATTGTGAGGACTCTGTGCAAGGTTCGGGGAGCAGCACTGAAGCTGGGACAGATGTTAAGCATTCAAGGTAAGTGGTAGCATAGGTCCTCAACTATCCTCCTTAGTGCTGCCAGTTGTGATACAGGGTCAGCTGTCTGCAATCAGTGTCACATGAATGTGGAGAGATTGGACAAGTGGCTTTCTCGTGTGAGAGCAGTGATGGATATATGTTTGAGTTTCATCTAATCCCAGTATGAAGTAAGTAGATGCATGCACTATATACTACATGTCTCTATTGTGTCAGGCACACAACTAAAATTCACAGTGCCACCTTATTTTCAACCAATTTCAATGTCTGTATAACAAGCAGTTGTTGAGAAGCTGAGCTGTAATCACACTGTTCTTGCAGGTGTCCTGCTAGAAAGCAGGATGATGACAAGAAGATGATGATCCTGTTCTTTGTTCACCAAGATTTGGTCAAGGTTATACCCACAGTGTTCTCCCATTTTAACAACCTGGCTACCTATTTGTGGTTTACATGCCTTGTGGGCACTGGAGCTTTACTGGAAAGGCCAGTACAGCTGCTAATCTTACCAGCTGTAAAACACTTACTTTCATCTTGAGGAGATGTCAAACTGGTACTTAGCCCCTCGGGCTCTGAAGTCAGTGACCACAGGTGAAGGCATGAGTGATGTCAGTGTTTGTACTGAACTGTTAAGTTACTCCTGGGAGATGGCAGATCTGCTGAATTAAAACCTTATTTGGACCTTTCCACTTGGACTTCCTGCTCAGCTTGATAGGGAAGGAAAGAACTAATCAAAAATAACTGTTGCACTTGTCTGGAGGTAGCTTTCAAGATGTCACTGAAAGACTGAAACTGAGTCAGTGTCTGAGTGCTGGAAGTTCTGAGTTTGATTTGGTTTGTGCTTCTACTCGAATTTTTATAAATGTTCACTGATGAGGCTGGATCCAGTAGTACATTAAATAACTTGGGCTTGCCAATAAAGCAAGACTATAGCTCTCTGTTCCAGAGAGCCCCTCTCTGTTCCAGATTTGCTAGTCAGTTGGTTTAGGTGCATGCCAGGCTGATGGCTACATGGGCAAAGCTAGATGGGAGGAATCAGCTGCTGTGTCAAAGGCTGCCACCCACATGGTCTTTTCTCCCCTTCTAGAAACTGCCAGGTGCCCAAGACTGATGGCTCACAGTGCAGATCCAGGAGGAGCTCATATACTCCTTGCTTTTCAGTGCCTCTGGTATGTGGCTGAATGAGCCATGCCTGGAAATCAACTCTCAAGTTAAACTTGGCTACCATAGGTGGAGATTAATTTCAGATTCTTAGGACATTATTGAGTTGCACCTGATATGTGCCTGAGCCTGATCACACCTGCCCTGGATGTGAGTGAGGAGAGTAGCTATGAAGGGCCACCTCTGAGGGGCAGAAATGCTCTGGATTTTTGTCACTTGCCTGCTGACTCCTAATGTTACTGAGCTCTGGCAGGAGTGTCAAATACTTGCTGATTGACTTCACTTTGGTGTCAAGAACAGGCCTTCAGCAACCTCAGTGGTGCTACCCAGCCCTCACTTGACTCTTGTGACAAGTACATGGAGCACTGCTGTGCCTGGCAAGAACACAGGCCCCTGCTAACCTTGCTGAGGGACAGCTGTGGTGAAATAAATTAGACACCATCAACAGTGCAGAGTATCTGTTTCTTGGGCTGGTTATTTGGACAGAAGGGTTTCACACATTTCCTGCCACTTCATCGGCTTCTCTGTGGCCTGGTGAGTTTGAGTTGGCTTCTTCCATCAACAGCTTGGGGTGTTAATTGAGCACAGGGGCTCCCTGCAGCCAAGCACAAGTCACAAAGCACTGTCCTTAAAAACCCTGATGTCTGCCTGTGGGAGTCAGTGGATTTATTAGGGACCCACATCCCTGAAGGTCATGCATAGAAAAGATGCCAAGGGCCCTAAATCATCCTGTGTTCTGGTGTGTGTGCTCTGGGAGCTGTTGGAAAGGCAGCTGGCATTTGCTGGCTGACACTGCCCTGCCTGGACTCTTGCTTTGTGTTTCATTCCAGTAAGGCCTCATCAGTTTACCACAAAGACGTATAACTTTATTCATCAGCATGTTGCAAGCCTCGTTTTGTCAGAGTCGCTTCCACAGCATGACTGATTTTTGATGTTGCTGCTGAGTTTCTGTACAGTCAGCCTGGACTTGCAGGTTTCTTGGCTATTAGGTATTGCAGTGGTGGTCAAGCAACCCTAGTTAAGGACACCCTCTCAGAGTAGGGGTTGAAAACCCTTTTGAGGTTTTTTGAATGTCCACAATAAGCAAAGTAACATAAGATGATCCTAAATGCCTGTTGGCAGACCCTGAAACCTTGACACAAATGGGTCCTGGGAGTAGGAGGCACTCTTAGCAAGGCCCATTCTCTTTCTGCCCAGTCATCCTTGGAGGGGCAGGTTATGTGTTGCAGCATGATGGTTAACGCTTTCACATACCCCTGTGAATAGTTTTTATACTGTTCAGAGGCTTGGCAGTGACACACCAACTCTGGAGCAGACGTTTCTCCTGGTGTTTGAAACATGCACACAAATGCAACATCTCACCTTCTTGCGGGTTTATAACGTCACAACAGGAGTCTTAGTCAATGTTCCTGCAAACCTGCTAATCTCTGACTCGCAGTGATGAAATGGGAGCTCCTCTTAAAAACTTCTGTTGGTTCCACAGTGGGGTTTTTCTTAATACTTTTCAATGCTGCTGTGGCTACAGTGGGAATTTCTAAAGAATGCTGAGTGTTAATGTCATGTCTCTGCATTATGTATCTTTGTGTCTATGTTCCTTTCCACCCATCATACCAGGACAGTGCTCTCAAGGTCATTGTTTGTTTCTTGTTTCCTAGGATAGCCTTACGGTTGTTCATCCATCTGTAAATGGAGATGGATGATACATTTTTATTTCAATGTCATAAGAGCATGTGCAGGTTGAGCTCTCAGGATTAAGGCTGGTAGCTTGGACTTTTCCAGAGTTGGAAGAGCAGCAGATAAATCTAATTCCTTCATAATCCTTCATGAAATGAAAATTGTGTCAGAACTGGTAGCTTTTCTATGAGCTATTGTAGAAGCCTTTGCTCAAGGCAGAGGACTAATCTTTCAAGATGCCCCTACCATTTCTCTTTCTTATGAGTGTAAATATTTGTTTGCCAGATCCTTCTGACTCTTAAAATAACTTACTTTTGGCTCAGCTGTTTTCTTCTGCCCACTTGTAGTTGCTTTGCATTTGGGTAATTGTTTACAGTAGCAGATGCTGGCTGATTTCTCCAAGAGTTCAATTGCACAGCTTTCTAGAGAAGCTGCTGCCCCTTAAAATGAACTGGATTACACCACATTTGGAACCTTGGAGTGTTGGGTTGACTCTCTAGGGGGTTTCTTCTGTGACCACCAGCAGGAGAGTGACTTAGGAGTTGTTTGGGTAATACACAGTTCTTTTGAAAGTAAAAATGAAAGTGCTTTTTCCCTTTATTTTGCTACTTGTGCATAGGAATTCTGTTTGGCTCATTTCTAAAGGTGTGATGGCTCAGGAGGAGTGCCTCAGGTGCTGCTTCTGGGTATGGAGAGTTTCTGAACTAGAATTGCTTCCAAAACCTTCCCTAGGGTGTGCCTGGGGGGCAGGACAGCCTGACTTGCCTGTATGAAAGTGGATGTTTCTTTGTGTGCTGAGGAACTGGAGGATGCAATGCCTACACTGATTGCTGTGTGCTTTTCCCTTGGCAGATGATGCATTCATCAACCCCCATCTCCAGAGGATTTTTGAGCGGGTGCGTCAGAGTGCTGACTTCATGCCAATAAAGCAGATGATGGTGAGGAATATTCTTTACTGCTACTGGGGAGGAGGGACAAAGATAAATGTCACCTGGGACATACTCTGGTAGGGGAGGTGAATGAGGATTTTCAAGAGTATTCTGTCAGTGTTGCATATTTTCAGTTGTGGGTAACATCTGATTCCTTCTCTCACTGGGCTGCCTTTTGTCTCCAAAACATCGAAGTTTACCTCAAGACAGAGGGAAAATGTGGCAGTTTGTCCTGAGACTAATATTGATGGAACAAGATGCTGCACACAAATGTGATTAGAGGGTCATATCGAGTGTCGCCTCCTCTATTTCCTCTTGTCTTTCTCATGGGTGTTAAGCCAGTATCTAGAAGTGCCTACATCCCATTTTAGGAACAGACTTACAAGCCTTAGTCTGATGGAAGATTAACAACCATTTTGTCCTTACTGTTTTGGTTAAATGTAACCTGCCATCAAGAACAGACAGAATGAAGCAAACTAAATTTGCTTTCCCCAGTGTCTCTCTCTACTTCTCTCTGTAAACTGAGATGTGAAGGGTGATGCAAAAGGAATTGCCAACACTGTGTCTTCTGAAAGACATTGAGCAGAGCCAGACCTTAAATATGGCAGTCTGGCAGGGTAGCAAAAAAGCTGTTAAAGCAGGCTATGATATTTAATTGTCAATATTGCCTTAAAGAGTGTCACTCTTGCATGCCTGGATTGCTTCTGTTCAGCTTGGCAGCATGATGAAAGAGGAGAAATAGCTAACTCCTTGCTCATTTTCTGGAAAATAACAAGTGGCACCAAGAAGGAGATGTTTGTATGGCTAAGGCAGTGGTGTTTGTGTTCAAGATCTCTGTCTCTTAGGCCAGAACCTCACAGATCTGATCAGCATCTGTTTAGTGCTGGGGAAGCACTGCTGGCTGGACCACTCCTCACCGTGGTGTGCAGTGATGAGGCAGGGAGAATGATCTAGAAAGCAGGGTATGGATTCTCAGAGCTACTATAGGGTGAGAGAGTCACCTTAGAGGAATGTGATTTCCAGTAGTGAAAGTCTTAGATCTTTGCCTCCCATACCCTGATGCTTTTCTTTCCTTGTAGAAAACTCTGAACAATGATCTTGGCCCCAGCTGGAGAGATAAACTGGAGTCCTTTGAGGAACGTCCCTTTGCTGCTGCTTCAATTGGTCAGGTTCACCTGGCACGCTTGAAAAATGGGAAAGAAGTTGCCATGAAAATCCAGGTGGGCTTTACAGACCAGCCTTGTCTCTTTTTTTGTGCCCACAGAAGGGCAGGGGAGATGCCTCTGTACTGCTAGACAGATAAGAAACATATTAATGCAAGTGAAAATGTGGGTCCAGCAATACCTTACCTAGTGCAAGCAAATGGGAAAGACAGGAAAGGTTTTGCAGCTCGAGCCAGTGTCTGTCTCCAGATGAGCAGGAGGCATCTCATAGTTATGTCATTGCAGCATGGGATAATACTGGTGAGGGACTGCGTGTACTTTTAGGGCTGTATGTGAGGGCCCTGCCTGCTCCATAGGCCAGTCCCTTTCTGGAAGTGCACATGCTGTATGCCCCATTCTGACCATGGCCCAAAGGTTAAAGAAATACTAACTGGTGTGCAGACACTGACTGCTGAGCAGTGGCAGTCTGACAATGCAGGAGGGTATTCACTCACTCACACTGAAGCTGCTAGCAGCTTCAGGTGGCTATTTCTAATAAAATTAAGTTCTATACTCCTCTTACAGCAGGGTTTATAATCCAAGGGAGTGAGGTCCCTTACTGACTGAGCAGTGTCCTAGGCAAAGTTGGTCATCTGGTTGGTGTGTGTGTTTGGTATTTTTTTGGAAAGTGGGGAGACTTGAGAAAAAGTACAAATGGGTACTGGTGTCTTCTCAAGCCATTTGTGTCCAAAGCACTCTCTGAAGTTAGGCCAAGCTAACAGCAGGAGAAACTTAACCCTCTGGCATTCCATTCCACAACAGTGTGGGCTGGTTCCCTTCTTGACACACAAGGTGAGAACAGGAGGAGGCATCTTTGCCAGGACTGGACTGGGACCTCACCACTTGCCCTACTGCTCTGAATTAAACCCTCTGGGGCTGCCCGTGGCCTGTCCTTTCAGCTGTGGTAGGGAAATGACCGACTGCCTTAGCTGTTCTGGGATTTGCATGTTTGAGAACCTGTCATGTGTTGGAAGAGTTCCTGTCAGAGCATCTGAACAAGCCATTTTGGTTGCAAGGAGCTGCATCTTAGCCTATCTGTCACCTGGTTTAGATGATAGGCTTTAAATAAGCTTTTAGAGGAAGGATATGTGGCTCAGGTCTGCTCTGGCTCATTGCCAGGCTGTAGGTGGCTGTGGTCAGTGGATGCTGAGCTGGAAGGTGTTTTTATCATGCCCTGTTTACAACCAGGTCATCTAGTCTCAACACTGCCTTCTTCCATTCTGTCCCACAGTACCCTGGAGTTGCCCAGAGCATCAACAGTGATGTTAACAACCTGATGGCTGTCCTGAGCATGAGCAATATTCTCCCTGAAGGTAAAAAGACAGAGACCCTTGGCAGGCCCTTTGTTCCCACTGGTGTAGGTTGAGTGGCAAGCAGTGCATCACATGCATCTCTCCATAGACTGGAGGGAGGAAATAGCTTCAAGGGAATGGGGAAAAGGAATGAGAATTGCTAAGGCTGCCCAGGAGCACGAAAGCAGGAGAGATAGTGGATGTGGGCAGAGGGTGCAGGGCCAATGTGGAGAAGCATGCTCTGCTCCCCTCTCCTGCTGCAGAGCTGCTGCTGCTGCTTTTGCTGGGCATGTGCTGCTCCAATGTCCACTTGGTGGGGTGGGGAGTGCACCTGTGTTGTTTTGCCCACCCATGAATATGCACCCACCTGCCAGAGTAGCACACACTTGTCTTCGTGCGCTCTCAGGACCCATAGGGACTCTTGGCAAAAATATCAAGTGCTGGGAATACTCACTTCTGATGACTTCCTAAGCATGGAGTGTGGGCAGTGTTCAGGTTAGGTAGTCATGCTTTATCCCTATTTCTGGTACATTTGGCAGAACTCTTTTCCATGTTTCTTGTAGCCTTCCATGCCTGCCATCCTCTGTTCTTTCCAGTCAGAGTTGTGGTGAACTGTCAGACTTGGAACTTGCTCAGTGTTTCAGCACATGGATAAGTCCCTTTTCCCACGGGGAATGCAGGACTTGCTACTCGTTTTTGAAATACCTGCCTGCAGGAAATCTTTGTGGGACTGTACAAATGCTGCTTTAAAATCAGGCTGGGTGCTAAAAAATATGGGACTGTTCTCTGTGTTGGCTGGGCAGGGCCCTGCAGAAGCTGCTGCAGCCCCAGCTGTGTCTGGCCCAAGAAGGAGATTGGTTTTCCAACTTCAAGAAGACTGGACTTGGCAGCTCAGCATGACTAATAGAGCAAACTGGAGCAGCAGTACATAGCCAGGGCCTGACTGTTTCTGCCTGGCAGTGCCTGCTTCCAGTTGTAAGCAGATCCATATGGTTTGGAGCCTTTTTTTGCTGCCTTTGCCCAGGCTAGTGTTTGGGACCTTCTATTCCTTGGTGTGTGTCTCCGCACAGCCATGCCAATAGCAGGAGGAGATAGCTTGGGCTGTGGGGTGGGAGCTGGGGGAGGATGGAGCTCTTCTGCACTAGAAGTGGTGTGGATGTACCTTGATTTAGGAACAGCTGTGTAGCCTTGGCCTGGGATTACTGCAGAACCTGTATCTAGTTGGAAATACGCTTTGGCTCTCTGGGGCCTTCTGTACTCTTCAGATCTGAGTTGGCTGGATAGCAGGTTGTTCCTCAAGTGCAACTCTGGAAAGCTTAGCCTGAGGGAGTCCTTTTTTTCTAAGCCTGCCCTCTCCTGTGCTGTTTGACCCTCAGGTTTGTTCCCTGAGCACTTGATTGAAGTTGTGAGCAGAGAGCTGGCCCTGGAGTGTGACTACCTGAGAGAAGCTGCCTGCGCAAGGAAATTCCAGTATGTTCACACCCCTGCCTTCAACCCCTTGTGTGTGTGTGTGTGTGTGTGTGTGTGTGTGTGAGGTTGCGTAACTTCAGGGATGGTGGGGAGATGAATGCTTGTGCCCTGTCATATAGCACAGGGGAAGGGTGATGTTTCTGGCCTGAGCTGTTCCCTAGAATTACCAGCTTGTTGAGACAAGCATGTCTTCAGTCAGCTGAAATGTGATAGCATATCCTCTCTTCTCCAGTGCAAGGCCTGTGTGTTTTGCCACACATGAAGGTGCTGCAGTAACTCGTGGGGCCAGGTTGCAGTGCTGTTCTGTATTCTCAAGCTTCTCCCACCCTTTAGAAAAATCTAGGAGGCTTTTCAGTTCCTCTCTTAGAACAATTACCACCACCAGTACTGCCTGCTCCCTTAGCTTGCTGTAGCAGTAGAGTCCAGATTGGTTTTACATGGTGGCTGCATGATGGAAAGTTGCCAGAGGCTGGTTACCCTTCCTGTCCTGCTGCAGAACTGCCCCTGTGGCATCACTCCCCTTGGCAAAGCCCATTTTCTTCCATGTGTGTAGTCTGACCCTGAAGCCAAGTGGGGTGAGCAAAAGAACCCAGATATGGGCTCCAGGCCAGGAGGGAGCCTGGAGCCCTCCCAGTATTACTGCTCTGGCAGGAGACGTGACCTTAGGAGCTTGTGTGGTTTCTGGAGACTTGATCCCTACTGTAACTGCTGAGGAAAACATCTCCTGGCAACCTAAGCCAGGGTGTGGGGAGAGGCTGGTGAAGGGCTGTGTGCTGTTGCTGAGGGGTCCATCTGCTCTCAGGGCTCCTAACCTTCTCTTCTTTCTCTATCCCTAGGGAGCTGCTGAAAGACCATCCCTTCTTTTACGTCCCAAGAGTAATAGATGAGCTGTGTAGCAAACACGTCCTGACCACAGAGCTGGTGTCTGGCTTTCCCTTGGATCAAGCTGTAGGGCTGAGCCAGGAGATTCGAAATGAGGTAATGCAGGGAGGTTGTGCTTCTGCCCTTGCTCAGAGCAGTGTGCTTGGCCTGCCTGGTGTATGGCAGACCAGGGGATGCCCCATGCCAGGGCAAACCCTTAGCAGTACAGAGCAGCCAAGGACTGTCAAGGAAGACTGTCAGCCAAGGAAGCCTCTAGGAAGACTTATGTTTAGGGAATGTGGCAGTGACATTGGAGTCTCAGACTGATCTTGGCCTTGGAGGCACCAGCATTCAGCAGGGAGGGGTTGAAGGGGGTGAATGGCAAGGGCAGCTGAAGGGGAGGTAGCCTCGCTGTGTCATGCTCTGTTTCTCATGACCTTAAGTTTGGGAGGGATTGTCAGCCAGGGGAAAGGGGTCTTATGCAGCTGCTCTTTTGTGCAGGCATGCACAATCACCTCAGTGCAAACAACTGGATATCATCTCTTCCTGTGGGACTGACCTGCACTGCATAGGGCTGCTGGAAAAGTACCTCTCAATAAATAGAAGTGGGGATGGGTAGGCATTGGTGCTGAATATAGCAAGGGATTGCAGTGCTGTGATAGGACAAGCAGCTGGTGTAGTAGCAGAAATAACTGTCCTGGTATTTGGATCCTTTCTGTATGTGTGTTTCTTGGTGTGAGCTGTCAGCTGTTAGCAGGTCACTGGGGAAGAGGGCAGAGTATGTTCCTCTAGATTTGTGTCACATTAGATTTGAGCTGGCTGCCTGTTCTTAGGGACTGTCCCCTCCAGTGAGCTGCTGTATCATCAGGACTGAGTTTAAAAGGCTGTGAGGTGGAGTGTTGCTGCAGGTGCAGCCCTTCTTTCCTATAAGCAACTGGCCTAGCTGACCCTTCTGACCCAAATGGCAGTGTCCTGTCGCAGGCAGTGGCTTGCATTTGGTGCTCTCCTCCCTCCCTCTTGGACAGGATGTTTCACTTGGCTTTGCAGAAGCTGAAGAGAGGCAGGATGAGGCTGGCAGTTCTGCTGAACAGGCTCCAGCTTAGCTTTCCCCATAGAAAAACTCTGCTGTAGTATGTAATTCAGCAGGGACTGCTACTCTTGCTTCCCCATGCCTGTCAGTCCCAACGTGTATGGGTCTGCTGCTTTTCCCTTAGGCTGAGTCAGTGCTGAGCCCAGCAGATTATCTGGCAGAGGAAGGTGGGTCTGTGTATCATTCAAGATTCCCATTCTTGCAACAACCAAAAGGGTAGGCAACACTGGGAAGTTAAAAGGTGGGACCAGGACACTTGCAGTTGGATGAGCACTGGAGCTTACTGTTCTCAGTGGCCAGGTACAAGGTACCAGCCTCTCTGGAGGCACATCCAGGGGCTGATACAAACTACAGCTCAGGCTGATGTAAAACTTCCATGGCATCTGTGCTGGCTCCTACATATATCCCATGGAAGGTGTGGGCTGGGAGCTGCTGAGAGGTGCTCCTTCACCTCTTCAGGAGTTCTGCAGCATAGATCAGATGATAGTTCCTGCCAGTGTGATGATGTGTTCTTTGTTGGCTAATGCCAGCTGTAAGTTATATGTGTTAGCAGGGCTTGCTGCCTCCTGACTTGTTTCTCTCCATACTTTTCAAGATCTGTCACAACATCCTGGTCCTGTGTCTGCGGGAACTGTTTGAGTTCAAGTACATGCAGACTGATCCAAACTGGTCAAACTTCTTCTATGACCCACAGCAGCACAAGGTAAGCCCAAGAAGCCACAGTTCTACCTGTACAAGTGCTGGTTTGCACCAGCTTTTCATTATTCTGCACTTCTGGAGTTAATGAGCCCTTACTGAGATTATCTGATTCCTGTCCTTGATGCTTGGGCACATGGAAACCTGCCCTTTGCCACTTAACCTCACTTGGTCTGGGTAAGAGAGCAGGGCTGCTGTAACCTTGGCTGTCTGTCTTTGGCCTTAGCTGCAGTCCCTCAGCCTCAGGCTTTGTTTTGAAGGTGGTCAGTGGGAAGTTGCAGCTCACAGTGCTCTATCAGGCCCAGGACTCTTCAGTTGAATGCTTGTCTTGTGCTGTGCTGAAGATAAGGCTAACAATTGCAGATGTCCTGCTTGCTGGTTTGGCTGCTTGTTTGTGCCCTGTAGGGCAGCTGAAATTGCTTTTTTATTCCCAAGGTCCATGTTGGAAAATGCTGGGGAAAGGTTCTGTGCTGCTCTGTCCCTGCACAGAAAGCCTGACTGGAGGCAAAGCAGGTGTGACAGCGTGGGCATTGGCCATTCCTTCTCAACCATGTACTAGCACAACTGTTTTTGGGCTGCAGTCAGGGGATAAAGGAGTCAGGGGAAGCTGAGCTGCAGGAGAAAGGTCTGGGAGAGCTGGCTTGGAAAACCAGTTAATCTTCCTGAAGACATCAGGAGCATTTCTAAAGGTCAGGCTCTATCAGAGTGGTTGAGTCTGTAATATAAATATGTTTGTCCATTTCCAGGTGGCCTTGCTGGACTTTGGAGCAACACGAGGGTTTGATGAGAAGTTCACAGATGTCTACATAGAGGTGAGGACTTGCCCTGTGTGCTGAAATGCTGCACTTAATTTTGCAAATACTCTTATCTCTTAGCTGTTATCACTTTATACTCAAATCCACTTCAGGTGTGGAGAGAAGCAGGACTGGAGGCAAGAGAGGTTTCTGTTTCATTCCTTCCCATAGCCACCTGTTTGTCAGCTGGAAGCTGCTGACTATCTGACAAATACTGCATGACAAATACTGCATGACAAATGTGAACTGCAGTGTTGCTTACTGGGAGACTCAGGCAGCATGGTGATTCAGAGCACTCAGAATTCTGTGATTTTCCTATGAGGGTATGCAGGAATTGCTTGTTCTGTTCCCTGCCTCTTCCTGTGATTTCTAGCTTGCTTACAGACAGATAAATTGATGTGAAAAGTCACATGTGCTTCCTTTGTGATAACCACGTTCTGCACTTGATAATTGAGCTGCAGGAGCAGCATCTGTCACCTAAAACTGTTCTCAGCTGGCTCTGCTATTTCCTTGGGGCAGGGACTGACTGATTTAAGATTTTTTGCTGTCCCTTACATTCTCTGGGCTATGTGTAGCCCTATGGGAAGAGCCATCAGCTGTATCTTTTTGCCAGTAGCTCTTAACCTGGCCAACATGCAGCCCCCTGAAGATGAAGGCAGAGGCAAGGAAGTGGGTGGGCAGCATATGTACCTGTAGCCTATGTAGTAGTGCTGTACTGAAAATGTTTTTCAGTCATCTTCTAGCTCTCCTGAAAGTATTCCTCCTATTCAGGTAATCAAGGCAGCTGCTGACATGGACAGAGCGAGGGTACTGAAGAAGTCCATTGAAATGAAGTTCCTCACTGGCTATGAAATCAAGGTATGGAGCAGAAGGGTCTGATTTTAGTGGCCACAGACACAAGGGTTTTGTGGGTCTGTGAACTTCCCCAGATTTCTTGATGTGGTGAAATGCCAGTCCAAAAGTCCTGTTGATAAGAATGAGGGAGGAGAGCAAAAAAGGTTTTGGTTTTTGATCTCCCACTTCCTTTTGGAAGCAGGAGCAGTAATGAGGATACAGCTAGCACCAAAACCACTGTCCTTTCTCTTCCCCAGCAAGACCCTGCAGGTGATGACAACTGCTGAAATTTCATGACTGGCAGATGGTCTTCGGAAGCTTTAGTTGATCAGAACTGTATTAACTAAATGTTATCAGCCTTGCTGGGGGCTGGAGGTTCCCTTTGTTATGGATTTGGCTAGGTATTTCTCCTGAGCTGCTGCTGTTAGTGCTAGCATTTCTTTTCCTCCCTGGTGCTTAACATGGTTAGTGATGTTTCTCTCTCTTTTCTTTTGGGCAGGAAATGGAAGATGCACACTTAAATGCTGTCCTCATCCTGGGAGAGGCTTTTGCATCTGAGGAACCTTTTGATTTTGGCAACCAGAGCACCACTTTAAAGATCCATGGTTTAATCCCAGTCATGTTAAAGCATCGGCTTGTCCCTCCACCAGAGGAGACCTATTCTCTTCATCGGAAGATGGGGGGCTCTTTTCTGATCTGCACCAAACTGAAGGCCAAAATTCCCTGCAAAAACATGTTCCAAGAGGCATATAGCAAATACTGGAGCAGTAGGGGCAAGAAGCCAGAGGAGTAATAGCAATGAACTAACACGTCCTGTTCTGAGGGCCCTGAGCCCTGCAGAGAGCGTTCTAGCCTCCAGCTCTCCATCCTCTTGAGATGCAGCAGCCTCTGCCCTGGAAGCCAAAGTGCGTTTCATAAGGACAAAGCTGTTCTTTCATGCTGTGCCTGTCTTACACTGACTGCCAGTACAGCCTGCAGCTTGCAGGAAACTCTTTTTGAGTGCTTCCGTGCTGTTTCAAGGCACCAGCTGACTACCTTGAATGCATTTTTAACATTGTGATGGTGGCTGCATATTGATGGGGTTTTATAATGAGTAGGGGAAGGAGGACAAGACCAGAATTTAATATGGAAACCTATTTGTAATTCTCCATGAGTCGTTTTTTTTAAAAACCTTTCCTCTTTCAAGCTGAGGTGGAATTCAAGTAGTTTTCATACTGTGAATTATAGAACAAATTACTAAGGTGTTCACTACCACAGACACATTCAGCACCTCCCCCCAGTTTTTGTAAGTCAGGTGGTGGCAGTCTAAGAACCCCCTTGGATTTTACTGACATTGATTTAATGCAGGGGGTGTGTATGTAGGATGAAGTTTTATGCTTTCTGCCTGTTTTTGGCTTGCAAGCTAAACATAGTAAATATTTTAAAAATCTGAGAATTGAGTGCAAGTCTCTTTTAAACACACACATGTATACACTCTCACAATCCATCTCAGTTCTGGGAATCAAATATGTAATCAACAGAGCTATAGCTAAGCACAAATAGTGGGATTCTTCACTGTCTGGTAGGTATCAGCTTTCCTCAGGGTGAGTTAGCTAAGCTACAACTCTCACACCAACTGCTTGCTGGACTCCTAACCAAGAGCCTCATCTGTCTGTTTTCCTGTAAGGCAGATGAACAACTCATGTCCCTCATGAGCATTTCCAGCTGTAGCTGGAATGTCACACATTTAAAACCAGACGCACAGTTTCAAACTATTGAAGTCAAGCTAGGAAATTTCCTTTCTTAGGTTTTTGTACCAAGCCTGTACCTGTATGACTTTCTGATGTCAATAAAAAGTGCTTGTGCCGTGGGCCTCCTGCCTCTAGGTTCTTCATCTTTGGGTGGTAATGAATAGCCAAGTGAACCATGTCCTGTTCTGTGGGCTACACAGGTGCTGAGCAGAAGCAACTCTCAAGTCTCTTCTTGTAGCAGTAGTTTGCTCAAAGCATTGGTACTAGCCTTGCAAAGCCATCCAGCTATGGCCTGTTTATGTCTTCATCACTGCAGCTGTGGCACTGTCGTGGTGGTAAGTGTAGCAGGAGCCAGAAGGGCATCAGCCTGATCAGGTCTGTCTGGCCATGAAAGTCCCTGGTAATTTATTTGATGCTTTTTTAACTTTCCCTTTCTTCCACTTGTGAAGGAGAGGCTGTTGGAGCTGATGCTTACCTGGTGCTAGTAAGGCAGGTGTCTGTATCTGGCAAGTGCCTGATATTTAGCAGCAGGCTCAGCTGGTCCTGCTCAGTTAACATAGCCCAAGAAAGCAGAGGTTGTATGATCTTTAACATCACTTTGTAAAAAAATCCTGACAGCTCACACTTCAGAGGTAAAGACCAGCTAAGTGAATAAATGATGTCTCTCAAGAGGGACCTCTGAGAAACAGGAAAACAGGTTATTGTATTACCTTCATTCCAAGATCATAACCATATAAACCACTTCCTTTAAGACTTGGTTGAACAAGATTCAATGCTGTTTAATTCAAACTACTGGTGAGTTATTCCTAACCTTTTGAGAAGAGTTAACTGCTGTTCAGTGAAGTTTTGCATCAAGCTGTTTATCAGTGTGCCATGTTGAGTAACTTTCCTTGTTTTGAGTTCTGATAGACATTGTTTAGTTTTTGTCCTTTGGATCTAGACCTTGCAAGCTGTAAAAAACCAGTGGAACTGTTTGAAATGTTAACTGCTTATATTTAAAAACCAAAGTATAAAAAGCTGACAAGGAATTTATATTAGGTGAGCTTCAGAACAAAATTTCAGGATTTCAGATTCAGGGCCACTATAATCAGAGAAATTGCAAAGACTAAAAAATAACTTGGAGCATTACAGTTCACTTTTCCAGTGAGCACCATTACATGAGACTGGTATGCACTTAGTCATGTGGGCACAGACCTCCTGTATACCATGCTGGGCAAGAGTGTTCAGCTCAGAGAGTGTGTTTAAGAATAACTTCAAGCTAAACAGGGAATTGTTTTGCATTTGCCTAAAGGGTAGCAACTAGCATAAGCTAAGATGCTGCTTTATTAGGAGAGCTAATTAGAGCTCTGGGTCCCTAATTCTCCTAGCCATTTTTGTATGATCTAAAAGCATTAATAATGTCTATAGTTTTTTCCAGAGAGATTTGTGACAGGAGGAACTGCATGTCAGTGTAACAGCTGTGCAGAAAATGTGAGCTAGAATCACTCTGCTCTGCCTTCAAGTCAAAGAAGTTGTGACATTTTACAGTGAGCAAGAACACTTGATCACTGCTTGCTCTTTGCCAGCTAGTGCATTTGCTTGAACTACACACACAGGTTGAGGATGTAAACATTGCTGCAGTGAGCTTCTACTCTTGTGAAAACAGTTTTGTTCCACAAGGCAAGCTGGAGATTAAAGCTGCTTCTCTGAAGACTGGTATTTTCCATTCTAAAGAATCAAGATTCAGGCTGCAGTGAGGGGATGTCTCTACCCATGGCATGGGAGGGATGGGACTAGATGATCTGGAAGGTCCATTCCAACCCTTCAATTTTATGTTTCTATGATAGATGTGGTAGCAATGATTTTCCTACCTTTAGTCAGCCTGGTTGCTGCATCAAAAAACCTAAACACTGAGGAGCTGAACAGGAGCCAAATATGCACTTCACTTTCTGCTTTTCTGATGCCCAAATCCCAAACAATACCAGGCCCAATTTCCTAAGCCCTTTATAGCTGTGATGGTGCCACTTTGGACCCCTGGCAAATTGGAAATATAGCACTGATTGTAAAAGAGCACAGGAAGCATGGTATTTCCCAGAGCTATGGCAGCTAGGAGAGACCTGCTGTGCCCTAAAATGGGCTTAAATCCAGATGAGAGTTGAGGGTGAAGGGCTGAGAAAATAATTTTGACTGAAGGAGAGAGATAGGATCAGAAGGTTCTGTTGAGTAAGAATTTCGTGGAGGGATTGCTGATGGTCTTTGATAATGCCTAGGCTGGCACTACTGGTAACATGGGATCAGTACCAGCATAGTC